CTGTTGAAACTTCATGAGTTCTTTCAGGGAACCGAGTGGGATAGGCCCTGGCCAGGGGGCTTCCTGGCGGGGAGGAGAGGGAAACTACGTGCTTCCCTAGAGGGAGCTGACCTGGACTTGAGCCAGGGTTCACTCACCCTTCTCATCTGAGAATGGTGGCTGATGGCTTAACTCCTTCCTGTCTTGCGTTGTCCCTGTCTTATTGCCTCAGGAGACAGTGATGTAAGGAGACTAAAAGGGTCCTTGATACAAAATATCTCATCTCTTCCTTACCTCTCTCAACCTCATTCCTACTCTCTCTTTTTTTTTTCCAAAGATTTTATTTATTTATTTGACAGAGAGAGAGAGATAGTGAGAGCAGGAACACAAGCAGGGGGAGTGGGAGAGGGAGAAGCAGGCTTCCCGCCGAGCAGGGAGCCCGATGTGGGACTCGATCCCAGGACCCCGGGATCATGAGCTGAGCCGAAGGCAGACGCTTAACAACTGAGCCACCCAGGCGCCCCCCTACTCTCTTTTATAGACGCCTCCTCCAAGGACTCAGGTGTCATTCTCACAAGCATACACACATTTGTTCATATACATCCATAGGTACACACATTTCCATAAACACACATAGAAATACATAAGAAGGCATACAGGCACATTTCAACAATTGGGACATTATACTAATGTAAAGAAAAACATTACATTTAAACAATGAAATACCATACAGACAATAAAAATTGTTTTTAAAAAGAAATTAATGTGGGGAAATACTCAGGATAAATATAAAAGACCCGCAAAAGTATATATATATATCATCCCGAGTCTTTTTTATGTACACAGACACACACACATGCACACTAACAATTCATTATAGAAAAAGTAAAAATCCCCAATTTTGGATGAGTTTTATATTCTTCATTACACTTTTCAGTATTTAAAAAAACTTTTTTTGAAGAATTTTGTTTATTTATTTGAGACAGAGAGTGGGCATGAGAAGGGGGGTGTCAGAGGGAGAAGCAGACTCTCCACTGAGCAGAGAGCTGGACATGGGGCTTGATCCTGGGACTTCTGGATCATGACCTGAGCTGAAGGCAGATGCTTAACCAACTGAGCGACCCAGGCGCCCTTAAAATACCTTTTGTGATGAGAATGCTGTGATAAGATGAAATAAGGTGATTTTTAAAAAGAACACACATTGAAAAGCCTAATTCCCTATATTTACCAAACGCACAGAAATAGTACTTATGTTGCAGGCACTAGACTATGTGGTTTACAATTAAGAATTATTTTTTTAAGATTTTATTTATTTATTTAACAGAGAGAGCACAAGTAGTGGGAGGGGGAGAAGCAGACTCCCCGCTGAGCAGGGAGCCCGAAGCAGGGCTCAATCCCAGGACCCAGGGATCATGACCTGAGGCGAAGGCAGACACTTAACCAACTGAGCCACCCAGGAGTCCCTACAAATATGAATTTGATTAATCTTCAGAAGACCCCTAAGAGGAGAGTACTATAATTATTTCTATTTTATCGATGACAAAGCTGACACATGTAGATGAGATCATTTGCCTGGTCACACAGTTAGCAAGTGGTCTAGGCAAGTTTTGAATGTAGGCAGTCAAGACTCTAGAACTCGCACACTTGACCAGATACTGCCTCTCTGTAGCTACGGCTAAGTGATGTACGATTTTTTGGTGGGAGATGGTGTGGTTGGGCTCTCCAGGCAACCAGAGAATGCTAGTTAGTGATACATTTTGTTCCCTAATGTCTTCCATGTCAGTACATAAGAAAGAAAATGCCTCAGGGCACCTGGGTGGCTCAGTCAGTTAAGTGTCTCAGCTCAGGTCTTGATCTCAGTGTCGTGAGTTCAAGCCCCACATCGGGCTCTACACTGGGCGTGGAACCCACTTAAAAAAAAAAGTCTCATGTTACCCTAGATTTCCTTTACTATAAAAATTAGTTCCTACCACATTTACTGTGCTATTCTAGGTGTGGGAACGGTGGGTAACACAAAGCAAGAAAAGAAAATGGCCCCTTCTCAGGAGCTTGCATTGTGCATTGGTAAGCATTAGCATCTGCCTCCAACTGCACAACTGCTCCTTTCTGTCTGTCCAGCTGACCCTGACCTCTGTACTGGGACTGGGCATGATCTTTTTTTTTTTTCTTTTAAAGATTTTATTTATTTATTTGACACAGAGAGAGAGACAGCGGGAGAGGGAACACAAGCAGGGGGAAGGGGAGAGGGAGAAGCAGGCCTCCTGCGGGGCAGAGAGCCCGATGCAGGGCTTGATCCCAGGACCCTGGGATCATGACCTGAGCCGAAGGCAGACGCTTAATGACTGAGCCACCCAGGCGCCCCAGGGCACGATCTTATTAAATGAAAATCCCAAAAGATGTCATAGGATCTTTTGGAGGCTGATAGAGGAGGTCGCCACAGAGGGACTGCTTCGGTAAAGTCTAAGGTCCCAGATGTAGCCCAGATGCGGCATATGCTCCATGAATATGTGATGAGCTAAACAGAGGAAGCGGTGAAGTCTGCAGTTGTCCCCCAGAACGGGGGCACCAACCAGACACCCAGATGTGGGAGAGCGGAGGAATGAGCGTGGACACCGCGTCCTGCTGATGACTTGCGAAGGGCTGAAAGTAGCCTGCATGTATCGGTGGCAATCGGACATGCACCCTGGGCAACCAGATTGTCTTTCTGCAGGATCGCTGCATGTGGACCTCAAGCTCTTGTTGACGTGGTTACCTACTGTGGTTAGCTGTTCTGGTGACAGAGGACCGGGATTTGCCCTAACTTGCAGGAAGGGGAAGAAAAGGGCTGTTAAGTCCTTATTCTTGGCATCAGGGAGGGGCACCCGGCTGGGACCGCACAGCTGCTGTGGGCAGATGTTGCTCATTGTTCTTAAGAGGTGAGCAGTGCCTTCCCCGCACGAAGGGGAGAGCAGGGGAGAGCCAGGTGGGATGTGAAGGGGCAGACCGAGTTGTGACAGCCTTCCTTCTGTTAAGCCAAGCTGATCCACTATGGGAAAGGAAGGATTTCCTCCTGAATGTTAAAGGCATCTGTAGCCAATGAAAACACATTTCGGAGGCAAGTAGGAACTGTCTGGTAATGATCTGTTGTGCTGGATTATTCATGAGAACACTCTTCCAGAGGAAGAGCAAAATAGCAGTTAACTGGCTTTGGCAAGAATGACGGGAATTGGTTTGGTTAGGTGAGATCCACCCTTCATGATGGATTCTACCTTCAACTCTCTTCAGGAAGACTGGTGGCAGAAAGACTCCCTGTGTGACCACTAAGCACAAAAGGCATGCCTCTTGTGCAGAGCCCCCACGCGTCAGCAAATGCTGTCCTCACCTGGGGCCCAGAGGGGAATGTGGCTTCCTTTCTTAGGCTGGAAATAGATCCTTGCAGTGGGATTTAAACTGATACTTGCAGCCTGGATTTTGCCTTCCTTTACTTAATTTCTTGAACAACTATATATTGTATAACAACTATGTATAGGGGACACAGAGAAACATATTATTGAGGAACTTGAGGAATTCATAATGTAGCTGGGGAGATGTTTTTAAGATACATTCTATGACTTAAATCAGATTTCAAATCATCAAAGTAAGAGATATCACAATGTGGTATACACAATTTGGTATAAAATGAACACTTTGGCCCACTGAGTAAGAGAGGAAGAAGTTCCAGGGGCTGGGATAGCCTAGAAGCTTCCTGAAGTGATTGATCGGGGCGCTAAAGGATGGGGAGAGAAAGGCAAGAACCAAGCGCAGATGTAGAAATGACCTAGCACAGGGGTGGGCAAAATACAACCTATGGGCCATATCTGGCCCACCATCTCTTTCTAAATAGGCCATGACCTAAGAACAGTTTTTACATTTTTAAATGGTTGGAGGGGCGCCTGAGTGGCTCAGTTGGTTAAGCATCTGCCTTCGGCTCAGGTCATGATCCCAGGGTCCTGGGATCGAACCCCATGTCGAGCTCCCTGCTCAGCGGAGAGTCTGCTTCTCCCTCTTCCTCTATCCCTCCCCCCTGCTCATACTCTCTCTCTCTCAAATAAACAAAAATTTTAAAACATTTTTAAATGATTAGAAAGTAAGTCATATTTCATGATGTGAAAATTACATAAAATTCAAATTTTGGTGTCCATAAATAAAGTTTTATTGATACACGGCACATTCATTTGTTTGCATATTGTCTTACATTGTCTATGGCTGCTTTGCAGCACCATGGCAGCACCGAGTCATTACAACAGATTCTCTATTTACTTTCTGGTCCCTTAGAGGAAACATTTGCCTATCCTGGGCCTCTAATATGAGAGGGGCAATTAATCGGCTCTTGCTGGAGGGGAGATTTGTATGTAGGAAATGTAGGAAATTCTGTAGTAATGGGTGCCCAGGGATCAGTTATGAAGGATTATTTAATGCCAAGCTAAGGAATATGAACTCAGTCCTGTAGCCAAAGCGTTGAAATTACCATGTACATGACTATAGTTATATTATCTCTATGTACATAGTACAAAATTCCAAAAGGTTCAAAAGGATATTCTGTAAAAAATGTCAGTTTTCTACCTTGACCTTGACTCAACAACTCCACAGATGTACCCACTTACTCATTTTTAGGTTTCTGTACAGAGATAATCTTCTACATACACAAACATATATGAGTTGGCGTATATGTGTATTTTTCTATTTAAAACCCCACAAATGGTAGCATGCTATAAAAGTACTGTTTCTGCACCAGACCTTTCAGTCTTATATTTTAGACTTTGTTTTAGGTCAGGACATTCTTCTTTATAGTTGTATAATACAGGTGTACTATCTTATTTACTCAGTTTGACCCAGAAGCTAAAATATTATTTTAGGAAGCTTGGTTGAGCAGAGGGGTTCCAAGAAAACTAGACGCAGAAGAGCAGGCGGCCTGGCATTCCAGCGTAACCCAGAACTCCAGGCTGCTCAGGGCCATCGCAGGGGGACCCCTCTCCCCACACTGCTCCCCTGGGGACTCATACCTTGGAGGGTGTGTCAGGAATGGAAGAAGTGGGAGAACCAGGAAAGGTCAAGACACATTTCTTCCCCAGGCAGCGACCGTGTAAGTCAACGTCCTCATAAGGGTTTTCCTTCATTGGCGGATCTGTGGTCAGAGGAAACAAGTCAGGCACTGGGAACACTAAGGAAGTTTTCCTTATCAGACATCTACCCAACATCTTGGTCTCTCCTTGTGGGGATGTCTGACGTCTTGCTATCCATTCATCCCCTTCCTCTTGGACCCTGATTTTTACTGGGGTAACTTCCCATGTCCTCATTCTTGGATGTACAGAGTTAACTCCATTCTGAGTTGCAGAGCTTTAGCTAATCTGAGTATCCCCAGTCCCTGCCTCAGTGTCCAGTTCAGAGAAGGGCTCCTATCCCAAGCTTACGCCAATCAAGGCACGGCACTCCTGGGCTATGAAGGTGAACAAGGGACCTAAACCGGTCTCGTAAGAGTCAGAGTCACATTGAACCCCAGGATTTTTGCTGGGTACAGGACACGGGCTCTCCTTCCCAACCAAAAGGTACGGATCCCAGGGAGCTGATGGCAGCCGTCATGGAGATCATGGGAAATCTGCTGGGTATGTAGCCACCCCGAGAGATAAGAAACAGGGAGAACAGGCCAGTTCTGGTCACATAAACCAACAAATCCCCTTGTTATTTCAGTGGGGTCTTCTGTTCTCTGTATCTGAGAGCTTCCCTTTCAGGTACACACTGAAGACCAGATCTCATACCCACTTTCGGACTTGGGAAGCCTACTACTTTGGCAGTAACCCATCTCCACAACCTGGATACTATAATTCAGATCATCTATGGTGAAATTCATAGCTCAGCTAAATAAGCGCCCTTCTTCAGGTCTCCTGTTTCCTCCCACCACGGAGTTTTTTCTCTGGTATTGGTGATTACATGTACATATGCATGTGTGTATCTGCCCTACCTGCCCCTTGCATGTGGTCGCATATGGGTTTCTCCTTACCAGCTCCTTTCTTCCCCAACTCACCGCCTTCGACCTCACCAAGCAGATGCTGGGCTGAGCTCACACCTCAGTGAAACTGTGATGTTCCCTACAGAGTATTTAACTCACTAATTTAAATGCAAACAAACTCTGTGAATCTGCGCTCCACTTTATAATTTAAAAGAATTGAGGCCAACATTATGTTTTAATAGTAGACATTCATTTGAGTCTGAATTTTGATGCCCTGTTATTGCCAGCCACACTCCTAGAGATTCCGGGAGAGGGTGGTGGCCCGAGTTTTCCTTCATTCAGTAATCCTTACACTTTACTGAGCATCTGTGACACACGACGTACTTTACATCCCATTCTCTCCCATCCCCCACCCTACCAGGTAGCTGTCATCGTCCTTATTATACAGATGAGAGAACTGAAGTTCAGAGAAGTTCAGTCCCCAGCTCGTTATCACACAGCTAATAGAGCAGAGTCGAGATTCAATCATGGCCACTGAGACTCCATGTCTCCAGGTGTCCCGCTGCATCACGCTGCCCCCGTGGCTGTTCATCAGCAGCCTTTCCACTCCCCTTCTGGCCCCATGCTTGCACATGTCCCTCGTGGGTCCCCCTCCCACACCTCTCCCAGCTCTCTCATTCATCTGAGTACACGTCTTCAAGACTCTGTGTGTGTGTGTGTGTGTGTGTGTTTCAAGCACTCTCTCCCCTTTCTCACAAACTCATCCCCACACCCTGCACGTGGGTCTCTTACCTAGAATGTCTTCATAGACGTTCTCCTCTGATAAAGTGCGTGTGAGCCCCAACTTAGTCTGTGCATACCAGTCCACCCTGCTGTTCTCAGAGGAAGACTGCAGTAAGTCTTCAAACTCATAGGACTTTCTGGTTTGTACAAGATGGGAGAAAAACAAACAAGAACTCAAATCAAATTAGGCTGGTCGAGAGACTGTATACCAGACAATTTTCTTCCTGCAAAAATGTCTATTACTGAAATCAACTCTGTTTCTTGTAAGAAGGTATATAAATCCTTAAATAAGAAGAGTGGCTTTTTTTTGAAAGAATGTTTATGCTGTTATGCCGAGTAAAGGTAGCAAAGTACATATATATATATATATATAAAGTACAATCCCAACTTCGGACATATACATAGAAAAGAAGAAGAAGGGAAGGAAGTGAAATACACAGCTACTATCTCGGGACGAATGGCTTATGGCTTCTCTTCACTTTCATTTTTCTGGACTTCTTAGATATTCTGCAATGTTTACAGAGCACACATTCATGATGGGAAAGGAGCAGCGATGGCCAGTTCAGAGTGGACCAGAGGCCTGGGCACCTCCCCACTTCTCTCACTCGAGTGGTTATTATCAGAACGAAACCCAGAGGCCCGCTGAGACACCCCAACCCCCCACCCACACCCCTCAGAGATGGGTGCAAGTGCTTCTCTGTCTGTGGCCTGGCTATTGCCCCTGCCTACATCCACAGGGGCTGTCCCTGTCCTGCTGGTGCTGACCTAATGCGAGGTCCAGCCCCTTCTCTCTCTCTCTCTCACACACCCCCAGAGACACACGCAGCCGCTCACCCTGAGTTTCTATGATTTCTGTAGCTTCACTGAACATTTGGGAGGCCATGAGGTAGACCATATGGTGAAACACACAGAACCTCAGCCACCTCACTGGTTCAGTCCACCTCCTCTTCTTTCTTCTCTCTCCCCATCCTTCTCCGAAGTAACCCACAACTCCCCTGCCGCCACACAGTTGGAGCAGAACTACGCTGCCCACTCAGGCTCAGGGGGCTCCTCTTCTACCTCCAGCAGACTTGTCAAGAATTTGTGTTGAACACACTCAGGCCTTCCTTGAATGGCGTTTAGGTGAACACATAGTCCGCGCACACTCATCAGGGCACATCCCCCAGCCGGCTGTGACTTGGTCCCAGCCCTTCATTTCTCCTGGTCGAGGATGGTCATAACCCTCCCGTGGCTCTGTGCATGCATGTCTAGCCCAGGGTCCTCTGCATGCTCCACGGGAAACTCCAGCTGACTACTGAGAAATGTATCATGGCTTCACTTCTTCACCCATACTTCCAGTCTCTCTGGCTCCTGGGGATTAAACAAACCTGCATACAGATCCTGGATCCTTCCTTCACAAGACTTTTAACCTCAGACGAACCACTTAACTGGGCTGAAACTCACTGTCCTGACTTGAAAAGCAGCAATTATCTCAGAGGATTGTCCAAAGAATAGAAATGAGAACGTTTGTAAAGTCCTTAGCACCTAACAAACACACAACAAATGTTAGCTATTGCTAGTACTGTTGTGGTGCTAGTAATTATTTACGTAGCAAATGTTTTATGTTGAACATTTATTGTGGGAGAGGCACTGTGCTCAGGGTTCAATAACTAAGGAGTGACTGAAACAGTCAGGGTCCTTGTCTCAAAGAGCTTACATTCCAGGGAGGAAGACAGACATTCAACCAGAGCATGCACAAATAAACAGAACAGTAAACTGTGTTAAGCTCAGTGATGGAAAAGCACAGTGAGACTATCAAGGAGGCCTCATTTTAGGTTGGGGATGCATCAGGAAGGCGGCGCTGACAAAGTCATTCATTAAAGCTGAGACCTGGAGGAGGGCGGAAGAAAGACCTCAGCTGGGGGAAGAGTGTTCCAAGAAAAGGAAAGGGCACCTGCGAAGATCCTGTGGCCACAGGGAGCTTCGTGCATTTGTGGAGGGACACACACATTCGGCAAGGCTGCACTGCAGGGGCAGGGTGGTGAGTGCCAGGTGATGAGAAGGCAGTGCCAGGCAGGAGCCATTTGCCTGCCTTCCATGCTTTGGGAGTTTCTTGCATTTGATTTTATTTTCTTATTTTTTTAAAGTAGGCTCTACACCCAACGCGGGCCCCAAACTCACAACCCTGAGACCAAGACCTGAGTTGAGACCAAGAGTCGGATGCTCAACCCACTGAGCCACCCAGGCACCCCTGGGATTTCTTGCATTTTCAGTCTTTTCCTCTCGGCTAGCTTCTTTCCCTCTTTAAACACCCACAGGTTTCCCCTAGAAAAACTTTCATTGGAAGCAATGACTCTCCTAGTTCTGCGATTTCTCAGCTTCCTTGCCAACATTTTAAACTGGCGTGGGTTGGGGGGCCAGACGGAGGAGGGAAGAGCTTGAGGCTGTCTGACTACTCCTTTACCGGAGCTCACTGGTTTTTCTTCCCTTTATCTTCTCAACCTGGCGTCTGTATGCATCCCTTTACTGAAGCTGCTCCTGAGGCTCACTAGTGAGTTTCTGGTAAAACCTAACCACTTCCTGGGGCCCTTCTTTGCAGGATACCACTTGGTTTCTGCAGCGTCAGGGAGCGGTGCTCAAAGTGCAGTCTGTGGGCCGGGGCTGGTATTCCAATGAGACAGGTACAGAAATTGAGCATTTAGAAACTTAAAAAATTTCTTTTGTTTTTTTTTTTAAAGTAATTTCTACACCCAGCATGGGGCTTGAACTCACGACCGCAAGATCAAGAGTCATGTGCTCTACAGATTGAACCAGCCTGCTGCCCCTGTGTTGAGAAACTTTTAAAGCAATTTGACAGAATAATTTCTTAAAAGACAACTGAAGCTTCTATAATGTTATCTTTTTTCATGTCATTTCTCTGGTCATTCTGATTGTATTTTACGAAAGTACTGTTCAGCACGGGGCTGCAAACACGGGTACACAGGTCCCCCCTAGGGTTTGAGGAGCTGGGTGCCAGGCTGCCCACATGCTACTTCCCCTCCCACACTCCTGTGCCTTCACTGGCCCCTCCCTTCCACGTCCTCCTCCTCTTTCTGGGCTTTGGGCGTGTCCCAAGGTTTTCTTCTTTAGATTCGAAACTTCATTATCTCCACATCTGAATTCATCACCCCTTATCTCCACCTCACCCTTGCTCCTTTATGAACCTGAACTCAGCACGTAGGGCAGGAATACAAGGAAAGGCCAAGCTTCCAGCTTCCAGCCTAGGTCCCCATGGTCTTAAGTCAGGCCATGAGGCTGAAACTGTCACCCATGCCCTGGGGTGCCTGACTCACACACAGGAGCTCATGCTGCAAAGGAAGGGCTATCTCTCCATGAGCCCCTTCTTCCTCCCCTTGAGGCGTCCAGCCAGGAGAGGAAGGACTGAGCTTCAGAGCTCCAGGAGATGGGGATTGGGGGGGGTGGGTAGAGGTGGGAAGCGGGTCTGAGTTGTTTTCTCTAGGATGGGATTGCGCTGTGCTGTGTCCCCTGGAAGACTCCTTAGTCGGGGATACCGTTAGCCCAGGCTGGTATTAGCCAGGCAGCTGCTTGGGGATGGGGGTGTGGTGGTCTGTGGCCCAGAGAAGAGTGAAGTTACTGGCCTGGAGTGGGCCACAGCTCCTGGGTTTCTATGCTGAGTTAACCAGATCATGTTAGCTAGAGTCCCCAGCATGCACACTACCTAGATTTCGTAGGGAAGATGCAAACTCTTCAAAGAGACCACAGAATCATTCATTCAACATTTACTGAGTAGCGACTAAGGGCTTTACTCGGATTAGCACGCTCGAACTTTGCAACAACCTTGTGAAGAATTACTATTATACATGTTTTTTATGTGAAGAGACAGAGAGGGAGAGAGGTTAAATTGCTCAAGGTCACATGGGGAGAAAGTGGAGGAGCCAGGGTCAGAACCCAGGTTGTCTGGCCAGTGAATGGTGCTCTTAACAGCATAGGCACTAAGCGGAGCATGGACACAAGTCAATGCGGGAGGAAAGCTGTAGTCACAAAAGGGTTTTAATAACTTTATTTACATATTAACCTTGAGAAAAAGGCAATTTCAGAAAGCTAACAGTAACCACATCCAAATTGGCTTCTCTTTTGTTTAAACATTTCCATTGTTCCACATCCAGTCCATATGTTTAACAAGCACCTGCTGGGGTTTGAGCTGAGCCCACAGCTGGTGATGCAAACGCAAGAAGTCCCTGCCCTCGGGGAGCCCACAGCCTGCTGAAAGGGTGTAACCTCCTCTTGGCCTCAGTTTGCTTCTTGGGCCCTCAAATTATCATGTGATTGTGGTACTTCTTAGTTTTAGAGATGCTGGAATGATCCAATGGGTTCACTGAAGTTTGCGGACTTGGGTTATAATTCAGGTCCTATCCCAGCTTCAACAACCAATGCCAAACACTGTGTTTTCAAGTAGTATTTTGAAGGTTATTTGTGACTTTTCCATATTTTGTAAATGAAATACTAACTGAAGAGCTCATCCCCCATTTCCATTTGAATGACCCATGGGAATCTCAAAATGAATAAATACAAAGTTGAACTCAGCCTCCCACACCCCCTCCCTGATGAGGATCAGCCCCTCCTCCAGTGCTCCTCAGCAAAGGCTATCACCGTCTGTCCCCATGTTTACGCCTCAAACCTGGGAGTCCCGTCCAAACCCCTTCGCCATGAGCACCCATCGCTAATCAATGAATCGGAGTGCTACCAGCAAAGCATTCCTGGTATCCACTACTTCCCTCAGTCCGCACGGCAGAGCCAATGTCTCCTGGCTCTGCCTTCCGCCCCCCAACAGCTACCCACCAGGCCCACTGGTGCCCCACCCAGCCAGCTCTTCACAAATGCAAATCAGGTTGGGACCCTCCCCTTCTTAAAAACTTTGAAATGTTTCCCATTCCTCTTAAGTGGTAGGCCCAAATCCTTGCCTGGTCTAGGAGATTCTTCCAGAGCGGGCTGCAAAAGACCTGTGGGCCTTAGCTCACACCCTTCCTGACCCCTCTGGCCACACTCCTGCCTTCAGGGCCTCCAGCATTTTAAAGTCTTTCTTGCTCCAGAACCTTCATCTGTTTCTCACCTGAACACCCATCTCCCACCTTCCTCCTTGCCTGGGAACCTCAGGCCT